ACTCGGGGTGGTCGTGACCGCAGGACGGTGTACAGATTGCTGCCATGGGGGTGCCACAGGTAGGGTGACTGGCCCTGCGGGGTGGGAGTGGGGAGCCTCCCAAGGGGCAGAGCAGCCGCGAACCTGTAGAAAAGACTCTCTTAAGGAGGCTTCAGGCTGTGGGGTCACTATCAGGGAACAGGGTCTTCCATGATCAGGGCCTGGCATAAGGACGCACCCACAGGGTCAAGGCGCTGGTGGGCAGAAGGATGCACAGCTGGGGACGTGGGAGGGGACGGACAGAGGAGGAGGGGGTTCGAGCTGGGAACCTGAGGAGTGAGGATTGGAGGCCGGGGGGACCCTGCCTTCTGGAGGTGCAGGGGAGGCCTCGAAAGCTGAGAATGAATGTGCCCGAGGGGGCTCCCCTCCCCTAGGTGGGTCCCAGCACAGGCCATTGGGGAGTGAGCTGGGGCATCTGCCAAGTGGGGGAGGTGGGCAGGGGCAAGGCAGGGGCTGGGGGACCTTCGGGAGGTCCTTGCAGAAGCAGAGGAGGAGAAGAGGATGGAGCAGCCAGGGTGGGTGCAGGAGGCAGCGAGGAAGGAGAGGTCAGAGCTGCTGAGGAGCAGCCCAGATGCACAGGCCACTGCGATGGGAGCTGAGAAGTTACCCAAGACCCCCCGACCCCATTTCACAAGACGCACAACCCATGGCTCAGGGACATGAGGCTGAGCCAGGGCCCTGACAGAGGGGACCTGGAAGCCCCTGCTCCTGCCCAGAGCTCTCTCCCTGAGTTGGGGACATCGACATCCCCCTTCCCAGACACTGCACTCAGCTTGCTTTCCAGTGCCTTTGTCCCTGGTGGGGACACCTCTCTGCTGTCACCCAGTAGGGTGCTCTTGGTTTCCTTTTGTTTCATCTTAAGCTGAATTAATCTGAACACAGATCTGTCAGGTTACACCAGCAAAAGGTGCTCGTTTGGCTGCCAACTGCCAGGGCTGGGCTGGCTGGGGACAGTGGCCTTGACACCTGTCTTCTCAATAAGTCGGCACCCCATCTCAGCTCATTCATGTGTCCCCATGCACGAGGTCCTTTGCCCGTGTGTAGACCGGATCCTGGGAACGTAGACTCCGTCTTTGTTTCAGCTGCCAGCGCTCGCCAAGCAGTGCCCCGTCTCTCTTTCTGGCCTGGTGTGGGCACACCTGGCCTGTCCCTGCTGCTCTGCAGCGTTGACCTGGCAGATGCTCTTGGTTGGGCCGTCCAAGAAGGAAACGGGCACAGGGCCTCCCACCTGCAGGGCCCAGTGCTGGGAGCTCTGCCTGCATTAGAAAAATATTAGAGAATATTTCCTATGCGGCAAATAGGGCACGCAGGAGAAGCCACCATGGTAGAAAGAAGAGCCCCGGCTGGAGGCTACAGGTCCGGTTTGAAGCCCAGATCAGCCCCTTCCAGGCTGCATGGCCGTAGGGAGGGATGCTGAGTCTCTCTGCACTCTGGGTTGCTCATCTGTGAGCAAGGTTTGGACCCCAGCCTGGCACACAGGGGATGTTCGAACTAGGGTGGCTATTTGTAGTGATGATGGTGGCAGTGGGACGGGACAGGAGGGCAGGGCTGCAGGGACATGTGCCCTGTGTCAGCTTGGCCCCGACTCCCTCCCATGGCCGGCCCTGACCCTGGCCACTTCCTCCCTGCCAGGGCGAGGGGGTGCAGCAGCTGCGGGAGGCCCTGAAGATCCTGGCCGAGAGGGTCCTCATTCTGGAGCACATGATTGGGATCCACGGTGAGTCGTGACCAGGGCCACCACGCTGGGAACCTCTCTCCTCCCTCAGCTCACTGCTGCCTTCACGGCAACTGCCTTGGGTCTCTGGTCTCTTTGCCTCAGTGGCCCCTCCACTCCGCTGTCAGATGGTATTCGCCAAACCCCAGTCTGACCTTGTCCCTCCCCTGCTCAGGGACCCCCAGAAGTCCCTCCTGCCCATGACAGACATCCAGGTGCATCAGCCCAGCTCCCCACGACGCTACCCAGCATAGCCCCGTGCCCAGTGACAGACCAGCACCCAGTCACGCCAGGCTCCCTCCCACCTCCACACCGTTGCTCAGGCTGGTCCCTCCACCTGGTGAACACGACTCCCACTCCAGGGCCTGCTCAAAGACGTCCTCCTCTGAGAAGCCTGCCCTGAGCCCTCCGCTTTGTTCTACAGGGCTCTGAGGAGCCTTCCACTCCATAATGGGGTGTTGTTTCCATGTCTCTCCCTCGCACGCTGGGAGCCCCTGGCGCAGAGTGGGGACCTCTGCAGGGCCTGGAGCCCAGGCTCCTCAGCATGTGTTGAACGGTGAATGAATGAATGAATGAATGAATGAATGGCTGGATGGGTGAATGAATGGATGGGTGAATGAATGGATGGGTGAGTGAACGAGTGGATGAGGAGCCAAAAGCCCGATGCTGCTTTGCTTTGTCCAGACAAGGGCTTCTCTCCTTGGACAGGTCCCAGGAGCAAAATGCTTCCAAGTCCTCCCAAAGCTCTGTCTCGAGCCCACCCTCCTGCTCTCCCTCCAGATCCCCTGGCTTCCCCTGAGGGGGGCTCCAGCCAGGATGCCGCCCTGAGAGCCAGCCTCAAGATGAAGCGCGGTGGCCCTCATGCTGATGGCGCCCTTGCTGCCCTGCTTGGTCCCAACCCTGGGCAGAAGAACGCTGATGGGGCCAGCGACAGGAAGTAAGAGCCCAGGTCTCCAGGACAAGCCCCCCCCTGACCAGAGACCCAGCCCCTGAGGCCTGAAGACGCCCTGAGTGGGGCTGGGCTCCAGGCATGGACGGTTGTGAGGGACACTGGCTCCCGGGGCCTGGGGGTCTGGGGAACAGATGGCACCTCCAGGGACAAGGTCCAGGGGGAACCAGCACCCGCTGCAGAGCCCTTCCCTTGCCCCTCCCTCCCCACCCTCACTTCCCGCTGGAGACGGGGTCTGGGTGGGCTGGGCAGTGGGCGTGAGAATAACCATAATACTCATCGTGTATGGAGTCCCTGCTATGTCTGGGCCTGTCCAAGGAGCTTTCCTTACATTGTCTCATTTAACCCTTAGGAGGTAGGATTATTATCCCCACTTTACACGGAGGACTGAGGCTCGGGGGGTATAAATAACCCCCAAAGCCACCAGATCGTGGCTGGCTGGGGCAGGACTTGAACCCAGGCCTCTCGGTTCCTGAAGCCACGGTCTCTCAACCCTGCCAGCTTCTCTTCATGAGGAAACTCAGACAGGGAGGGCGCAG